GGATGGGTGCGAGGGGCTGGTAACCCCTCCACCTTCAATTAATTACCACTAAACCACGAGTTAAACTGAAATGTGTAACTAATAAGCTTGTGCCGGAGGCCCCGGGGGGCCAGGCGTCTATGACGTCTCCTGGCGAAACCCCAATTGGCGGAGCCAGGAGATTGAATATCTACCCTCGGGGCTCCTCCAGAAACAACGAAAAGCCACAACGGGTGGCCACGTGGAATGTTCGAACGCTCACTGCGGAGGAGAGGCTGCCACTCCTGGGTCGGGAGCTGGACCGGTACCGCCTGGATCTATGTGGCATTCAGGAGGTCCGGTGGACCGGCTCTGGCTCCTGCCACCATGAGGGGTGGACAGTCCTCTACTCGGGGCAGCAGACTGCCAAACAAGAGGGTGTGGCTCTTCTTTTGAACAAAAGAATGAAGGGGGTGTGGGAGCGTGGCAGTGAGGTGTGGGAAGCTGTAAGCCCCAGGCTACTTTGGGCTCGCCTTCCCATTAACCGGAGGCGAGGAATGGTGGTCGTGGTTACTTATGCCCCCACCGAAGATGAACATCCGTGGAGGGATGCAGGCAAAGCCGATGAGTCAGATGCCTTCTATGACCTCCTGTCACAGGTGCTGGCTAAAGTGGCCCCTCGGGATAGAGTCATCATGTTGGGTGACTTCAATGCCCGAGTTGGTCATGATACTGGCACCTGGTCTGGAATGATTGGAGGGCATGGGCCAGATCAGCTCAATCAATAACAACGGTAGGAGGCTGCTAGATTTTTGTGCAGCCCATGGGCTTGTAATTACCAACACGCTGTTCCGGCATCGGCGCATCCACACATCATGGATGCATGCCGGGTCCAAGCAAGAACATCTGCTGGACTACATAGTGACGGACCAGCGAATGCGAGCCCATGTCCTGGACACCAGGACCTACCGTGGAGCTGATCAGCCCTCTGACCATCGACTAGTCATCTGTAAGATGCGCCTGCCATTCTTCCACTCCGGTGGTGGGTGTATACCCAGGACCCCATTCCAACCTAAAGTGGCCTGGTCTCAGTTATCTGATGAAAGTTGCAAGCGAGAATTTCATCATCGCTTGCGGCTGGGATTGGCATCGTCCCCGACTCCTCCTGATGTCGAGGGTAAATGGGCGAGGTTTAGGACTGTGACTCATGCAGCTGCAATGGCTGCTTTGGGTACGCGGTCCAGACCTCCCCAGAGACCCTGGCTGACAGAGGAGGTGTTCAGGATGGTTGAGAAAAAGCGACAGGCCCACTGTCATCGGCTACAGAATCCTACGTCAGAGAATGAGGAGGCTTACCGCAGCCTTCGCTCGGAGGTTCGGAGAGCTGTGAGGCGCTGCAAGGATGGGTGGTGGTCGCGGGTTGCTGAGGAGATGGAGTCTGCCTCAGTGGCCCGTGATCACAAATCTCTATTTAACTCCATCAAAAAGTAACCTGCAGCGCGACACCTATTACCATCATTAGGGAAAAAAATGGTGATCCAATCTCCGACCCCCAGGAACAGGTTTGCAAATTTGCTGAGCATTTCTGTGAGGTCCTGGGTGAGGGAAAATCCCTCAGCCAGGAAAACATCGTGGCACAAAGTGAGGATGACCCTGCTGAGGCTGCGGTGCCTCAAATATTGGAAGAAGTCACCCCCTGTGAGTGGCTGGCTGAGGTGCCATCTGTTGAGGAAGTACTGAAGGCGATCCGGAGTCTGAGACCAGGAAAGGCAGCGGGCAGAGATGATCTCCCAAGCGAAATGCTGAGGGAGGGCGGCGTTTGTGCACACACTGCCCTATATGACATCATAACAACAGTCTGGACCACTGGACGGGTTCCGCAGGATTGGAAGGATGCCCTGGTGGTCCCCCTTTTTAAGAAGGGGGCCCGCACAGACTGTAACAACTACAGGGGCATCTCACTCCTCAGTGTGCCGGGACAGGTCCTGGCAAGGATTATTCAACATCGCCTTGCCAGGCACGCTGAGGAGAGGCTTGCGGAGCCCCAATGCGGTTTCAGGAAAGGGCGGTCCTGCATAGATGCCATATTTTCTGTCCGTCTGCTACAGCAGAGGTGTAGGGAATTCCAACAAGACCTACATCTCTGCTTTATTGACCTGGTCAAGGCCTATGATACCATCAGTAGGCCTGGGCTCTGGGTTGTTCTTCGTGCTTATGGAGTACCTGACCCTCTGCTCACGATCATTAAGGACCTTCATGATGGTGAGCGGGCCCGGGTAAAACTACGTGGCCGTGAGTCAGAGCCATTCCCTGTACACCTTGGGGTGCGACAGGGATGTCCTCTGGCTCCCACATTATTTAACATCTATTTTGACCACGTAGTTCATGAAGCCTTCAATAGCTGTACCGGGGGAATCTCCATATGGTACAGATATAATGGGAGGCTGATCGATGCCCGGGTGCGGTCAAGGGATGGCTCCCTATTGCTCAACCACGTTATGTATGCTGATGATTTGGTAATAGCTGCTCATTCAGAGGAGGAGTTGGAGACGCTGCTGCTGAGACTGGAGCGTGCCACTAAGAGATGGGGCCTTACCAACAGACCCACCAAAACTAAGCACCTGCCTGGGTATTTTGTACCATCGGACACTCCATCCCCACAACTCCCAATCGGTGATGGGGCAGTTGTGGAGAGAGTGGAGAGTTTCCCATACCTGGGCAGTGTGCTTATGACTGGCTCCAGTTTAACAGCAGAGGTCTCACTCCGAATCAGTCGAGCGCCAATATATTTTAATCGGTTGCGTAACGCTGTGTGGAAGCTACCTGGTCTGTCGCTCCGCACCAAGCTTCAGGTCTTCTCGGCCACGGTCATTCCCTCCCTTCTCTACGCTTGCGAAACGTGGACCCCCCTAATGGAACATCTTCGCCGGTTAGAAACATTTAGGCTGGCCTGCCTACGATCCATCCTGGGTTTAACCAGACTGGATTGTGTGAGGAGCTCACAAATCCTTGAAAGATCTGGGCAAGGTCCCATCGGTGAGCTCCTCCGGCGGGGAAGGCTGCGATGGCTGGGTCATGTAGCCCGCATACCCAGCCACCGCATGTTCGGCCGGATCGAGGGGGCTAAGCGGGCGCGGCACGGGCTAGAGAAGAGATGGAATGATGTGGTACAGGAGGACGTGGAGCTGAGTGGACTTGCCGATGACCGGTACCAGCGGTGTCAAGATCGGCCTCTGTGGAGGAGGCTCGTGAAGGACGCTACTGGGCAGTTGGAGGCAGTCGCCCTCCAACAACAACGGAGAGCGGAGGAGCGACGCTCACAACAACGAGCGGAGCGCCGGCTGGCTAAAGCACAGCAGGTTGGCACAGTAGGGGGCACAGGTGGTGCATCAGCCAGTCATCTCAGTCAGTCGACCCGTGGCACCTGGGTCTGCCCCGTGACCTCCTGCCAGCGGGCGTTTGTGTATACGTGTCTGTGTGTGTCTGTACGTGTGTGTGTGTACAGCTGTGTGTAGGTGTATGTGTGTGTGTGTGTACGTGTGTGTGTGTGTACAGCTGTGTGTAGGTGTATGTGTGTGTGTGTGTACGTGTGTGTGTGTGTACGTGTGTGTGTGTGTACGTGTGTCTGTGTGTGTGTGTACAGCTGTGTGTAGGTGTGTTTGTGTGTGTGTGTGTACGTGTGTGTGTATGTGTGTGTGTACAGCTGTGTGTAGGTGTATGTGTGTGTGTGTACGTGTGTCTGTGTGTGTGTGTACAGCTGTGTGTAGGTGTGCGGGGGAGCGGTGGCGTAACAGCGCTCGGCGCCACGCTGCGCTACGAACCCGGCGATCCGAGTTCAGCCACCGACGCCGTCGGTGACGGTCATCAGCACCGGTCCTGGACCTCCCACCACCACCCCCCCGCCCCCGGTCGACCCTGCCCCAAACGAGCACCTGGTGCTGCTTTGAGTGCAAGAGTCAACATCGCCACTGGGGGGAGACAAAGGCGGCCGGGCGTGAGCGAATGCTCGCGATCAGCGCTTGTCCGTCAAGGCCACACGGGCGGGCGAGGCGAGGTGTCTTTGTCGCTCGTGGAAGAGCGAGCGAGGGGAGCGAGCGAGGGAGCGAGCGAGGGAGCGAGCGAGGGAGCGAGCGAGGGAGCGAGCGAGGGAGCGAGCGTGTCATTCTATCTCCCAGCCACCCACCCAGCTCCCCGTGGATTTTCTCCTCTGGTATGCGGAAGGTCCGTGGGTTCGATCCCAACGCCTGCGGCTGTATATGTGGAGTCTGCGTCTCTCTCTCTCTCCATCATCATCGTCGTCGTCGTCGTCATCATCATCACGGTGAGCATGGACATGTTGACTACCTCGCCCGGCACGCGGGAGGTGTTCGTGGGTTCACACCCCGACCCCCCCCCCTCCCTGACAACGAACGTCCTTGCCGCTGGGGCTTTCCCCCGCGGAGGGGTGGGCCTGGGGCTGAGACTCCCCGACGGGGCAGGCCGGCGGGGCAGGCGGCTTCAAGACCTCGCCCCGGGGGGGTGGCGGCAGCAAGCGGCCTGGTGCCGAAATTGCCGTCGGCATCGGCGCGCCGGGAGGTCCTTGTGCCGAGCGTCGGTTTCCCGGTCGCGGATCGCCATCACCGCCGTCGCCGCCGCCGCCCAGCAAACTACCACCACCCACCACCTCTTCTTCCTCCATCACCTCCTCCTCTTCCTCCAGCTCCACCAAGTCCTCCTCCCCCATCTCCTCCTCCTACTCCACCACAACCTCCTCAATCACCGCCACCACCACCACCACCTCCACCACCACCACCTCCGCCACCACCATCACCACCACCACATCCACCACCACCACCACCTCCTCCACCACCACCACCACCACCACCACCACCACCTCCACCACCACCTCCACCACCTCCTCCACCACCACCACCTCCACCACCACCTCCACCACCACCACCTCCTCCTCCACCACCACCTCCTCCTCCTCCTCCACCACCACCACCACCACCACCACCTCCACCACCACCTCCACCACCTCCACCACCACCTTCACCGCCGCCACCTCCTCCTCCCACCACCGCCGCAACCTCCGCCGCCGTCACCGTCGCCGCTGCTAGTCGTTGTTCTTCTCGCGCGTCCACTTGATGACGGTCTCGGGCGAGCGGTAGAGGAAGATCAACTTTGCGAAGAGGTCCTCCTCCAGTTCGAGCTCCAGCGTCTCGCGCACCAGGAAGATGTCCGTGCACAGCTTTAGGATGCGGTCGACGTTGGGCAGCTCCTCGAACATGATGGAGTGCGAGATGCCGCTGAAGAACTCGCGCACGAATTTGCCGATCACCAGCACAACCGACGCGTACAGGCCCAGGATCCTGGTGGGGTGGTGGTGGTGGTGATTGTAGTGGTGGTGGTGGTGGTGGCGGTGGTGGTGGTGGTGGCGGTGGCGGTGGTGGTGGTGGTTATGATGGTGGTGATGGTGATTGTAGTGGTGGTGGTGTGGTGGTGGTTATGATGATGGTGGTGGTGATTGTAGTGGTGGTGGTGGTGGCGGTGGTGGTTATGATGATGGTGGTGGTGATTGTATTGGTGGTAGTTAGTGGTGGGGTGGTGGTGGTTAGTGGTGATGGTGGTTATGATGATGGTGGTGGTGATTGTATTGGTGTTAGTTAGTGGTGGTGGGGTGGTGGTGGTGGTTATGATGATGGTGGTGGTGGTGATTGTATTGGTGGTAGTGATGGTAGTGATGGTAGTTATGATGATGGTGGTGGTGATCGTATTGGTGGTAGTTAGTGATGGTGGTGGTTATGATGATGGTGGTGGTGATTGTATTGGTGGTAGTTAGTGGTGTTGGGGTGGTGGTGGTTAGTGGTGATGGTGGTTATGATGATGGTGGTGGTGATTGTATTGGTGTTAGTTAGTGGTGGTGGGGTGGTGGTGGTGGTTATGATGATGGTGGTGGTGGTGATTGTATTGGTGGTAGTGATGGTAGTGATGGTAGTTATGATGATGGTGGTGGTGATTGTATTGGTGGTAGTTAGTCATGGTGGTGGTGGTTATGATGATGGTGGTGGTGATTGTATTGGTGGTAGTTAGTGGTTGTGGGGTGGTGGTGGTTATGATGATGGTGGTGGTGATTGTATTGGTGGTAGTTAGTGGTGGTGGTGGTTATGATGATGGTGGTGGTGATTGTATTGGTGGTAGTTAGTGGTGGTTATGATGATGGTGGTGGTGATTGTATTGGTGGTAGTTAGTGGTGGTGGGGTGGTGGTGGTGGTTATGATGATGGTGGTGGTGATTGTGTTGGTGGTAGTTAGTGGTGGTGGTGGTTATGATGATGGTGGTGGTGATTGTATTGGTGGTAGTTAGTGGTGGTGTGGTGGGTGGTGGTAGTGGTGGTTATGATGATGGTGATTGTATTGGTAGTAGGTAGTGATGGGGTGGTGGTGGTGGTGGTGGTGGTTATGATGATGGTGGTGATTGTATTTGTTTTAGTTAGTGGTGGTGGTGGGGTGGTGGTAGATGGGTGGGTGAGTGGTGTGGTGGGTGGGTGGTGGTGGTGGTGGGTTGGTGGGGTGTTCAGGTGGGTGGGGAGCACGTGTGCAGTGGGGGACGAGAAGACACAAGAGGCAGCTCCATCATCCACCGCTTTACCATCCGGGAATTCTCCCCATTAACCGGTGGTGGCTATGAGATGTTAACTACCTCGCCTGGTACGCAGGAGGTCGTGGGTTCGATCCCGACCCCTGACGATGCCTGCTGCTGCTGTATATTTGGAGTCTGCGTCTCTCTATCATCATCCTCATCATCACGGTGGCTATGAGATGTTGACTACCTCGCCTGGCACGACCTCCTGTATACCTGGCGAGGTAGTCAACATCTCATAGCCACCGTGCGCTTTGGTAACAATGCTACGCACTGTCCTTGACAGTTACTACAGGTGATACTACTACTACAGGTGGTACTACTACTACAGGTGGTACTACTACTACTACAGGTGGTACTACTACTACTACAGGTACTACTACTACAGGTGGTACTACTACTACTACAGGTGGTACTACTACAAGTACTACTACTACTACAGGTGGTACTACTACTACTACAGGTGGTACTACTACAAGTACTACTACTACTACAGGTGGTACTACTACTACTACAGGTGGTACTACTACTACAGGTATTACTACTACAGGTGGTACTACAGGTGGTACTACTACTACAGGTGGTACTACAGGCGATGTGGGTACCCGTATCCGGCGAGGAAGCTGAGGCTGGGAGGGCTGACTGGTGGTACTACAGGTGGTACTACAGGTGGTACTACTACTACAGGTGGTACTACTACAGGTGGTACTACTACTACAGGTGGTACTACAGGTGGTACTACAGGTGGTACTACTACTACAGGTGGTACTACAGGTGGTACTACAGGTGGTACTACTACAGGTGGTACTACAGGTGGTACTACAGGTGGTACTACTACTACTGGTGGTACTACAGGTGGTACTACAGGTGGTACTACTACAGGTGGTACTACAGGTGGTACTACAGGTGGTACTACTACTACTGGTGGTACTACAGGTGGTACTACAGGTGGTACTACTACTACAGGTGGTACTACTACAGGTGGTACTACTACTACAGGTGGTACTACAGGTGGTACTACAGGTGGTACTACTACTACAGGTGGTACTACAGGTGGTACTACAGGTGGTACTACTACAGGTGGTACTACAGGTGGTACTACAGGTGGTACTACTACTACTGGTGGTACTACAGGTGGTACTACAGGTGGTACTACTACAGGTGGTACTACAGGTGGTACTACAGGTGGTACTACAGGTGGTACTACTACTACTGGTGGTACTACAGGTGGTACTACAGGTGGTACTACTACTACAGGTGGTACTACAGGTGGTACTACTACTACAGGTACTACTACAGGTGGTACTACTACTACTACTACAGGTGGTACTACAGGTGGTACTACAGGTGGTACTACTACTACTACAGGTGGTACTACAGGTGGTACTACAGGTGGTACTACAGGTGGTACTACTACTACTACAGGTGGTACTACAGGTGGTACTACTACTACTACAGGTGGTACTACTACTACTACAGGTGGTACTACTACTAGAGGTGGTACTACTGGTGGTACTACTACTACAGGTGGTACTACTACTACATGGGGTACTACTACAGGTACTACTACTACAGGTACTGCTACTACAGGTACTACTACTACAGCTGGTACTACTACAGCTGGTACTAATACAATTGGTACTACTACAGGTGATACTACTACAGGTACTACTACAGGTGGTACTACCACAGATGGTACTCCTACAGGTACTACTACAGGTGGTACTACAGGTGGTACTACAGGTGGTACTACTACAGCTGGTACTACTACAGGTGGTACCACTACTACTACATATGGTACCACTACTACTACATATGGTACTACTACTACTACAGGTGGTACTACAGGTGGTACTACTACAGGTGGTACTACTACTACTACAGGTGGTACTACTACTACTACAGGTGGTACTACAGGTGGTACTACAGGTGGTACTACTACAGGTGGTACTACTACTACTACAGGTGGTACTACTACTACTACAGGTGGTACTACAGGTGGTACTACTACTACTACAGGTGGTACTACTACTACCACAGGTGGTACTACAGGTGGTACTACTACTACTACAGGTGGTACTACTACTACTACAGGTGGTACTAAAGGTGGTACTACTACTACAGGTGGTACTACTACTAATACAGGTGGTACTACTACTACTACTACAGGTGGTACTACTACTACTACAGGTGGTACTACAGGTGATACTACTACTACTACTACAGGTGGTACTACTACTACAGGTGGTACTACAGGTGGTACTACTACTACAGGTGGTACTACTACTACTACAGGTGGTACTACTACAGGTGGTACTACTACAGGTGGTACTACTACTACAGGTGGTACTACTACTACAGGTGGTACTACTACTACTACAGGTGATACTACTACTACTACAGGTGGTACTACTACTACTACAGGTGGTACTACAGGTGATACTACTACTACTACAGGTGGTACTACTACTACTACAGGTGGTACTACTACAGGTGGTACTACTACAGGTGGTACTACTACAGGTGGTACTACTACAGGTGGTACTACTACTACAGGTGGTACTACTACTACAGGTGGTACTACTACTACTACAGGTGGTACTACTACTACTACAGGTGGTACTACTACTACTACAGGTGGTACTACTACTACTACTACAGGTGGTACTACAGGTGGTACTACTACTACTACAGGTGGTACTACTACTACTACAGGTACTACTACTACAGGTGGTACTACTACTACTACAGGTGGTACTACTACTACTACAGGTGGTACTACAGGTGGTACTACTACTACTACAGGTGGTACTACAGGTGATACTACTACAGGTGGTACTACAGGTGGTACTACTACTACAGGTGGTACCACTACTACTACAGGTGGTACCACTACTACTACAGGTGGTACTACTACTACAGGTGGTACTACTACTACTACAGGTACTACTACTACTACAGGTGGTACTACTACTACAGGTGGTACCACTACTACTACAGGTGATACTACTACAGGTGGTACTACTACTACAGGTGGTACTACTACTACAGGTGGTACTACTACTACTACAGGTGGTACTACTACTACTACAGGTACTACTACTACTACAGGTGGTACTACTACTACAGGTGGTACTACAGGTGGTACTACTACTACTACAGGTGGTACTACTACTACTACAGGTACTACTACTACAGGTGATGTGGGTACCCGTATCCGGCGAGGAAGCTGAGGCTGGGAGGGCTGACTGGTGGTACTACAGGTGGTACTACTACTACAGGTGGTACTACAGGTGGTACTACTACTACAGGTGGTACTACAGGTGGTAGTACAGGTGGTACTACAGGTGGTACTACTACAGGTGGTACTACTACTACTACTACAGGTGGTACTACTACTACTACAGGTGGTACTACTACTACTACAGGTGGTACTACTACTACTACTACAGGTGGTACTACAGGTGGTACTACTACTACTACAGGTGGTACTACTACTACTACAGGTACTACTACTACAGGTGGTACTACTACTACTACAGGTGGTACTACTACTACTACAGGTGGTACTACAGGTGGTACTACTACTACTACAGGTGGTACTACAGGTGATACTACTACAGGTGGTACTACAGGTGGTACTACTACTACAGGTGGTACCACTACTACTACAGGTGGTACCACTACTACTACAGGTGGTACTACTACTACAGGTGGTACTACTACTACTACAGGTACTACTACTACTACAGGTGGTACTACTACTACAGGTGGTACCACTACTACTACAGGTGATACTACTACAGGTGGTACTACTACTACAGGTGGTACTACTACTACAGGTGGTACTACTACTACTACAGGTGGTACTACTACTACTACAGGTACTACTACTACTACAGGTGGTACTACTACTACAGGTGGTACTACAGGTGGTACTACTACTACTACAGGTGGTACTACTACTACTACAGGTACTACTACTACAGGTGATGTGGGTACCCGTATCCGGCGAGGAAGCTGAGGCTGGGAGGGCTGACTGGTGGTACTACAGGTGGTACTACTACTACAGGTGGTACTACAGGTGGTACTACTACTACAGGTGGTACTACAGGTGGTAGTACAGGTGGTACTACAGGTGGTACTACTACAGGTGGTACTACTACTACTACTACTGGTGGTACTACAGGTGGTACTACTACTACAGGTGGTACTACAGGTGGTACTACTACTACAGGTGGTACTACAGGTGGTAGTACAGGTGGTACTACAGGTGGTACTACTACTACAGGTGGTACTACAGGTGGTACTACAGGTGGTACTACTACTACAGGTGGTACTACAGGTGGTAGTACAGGTGGTACTACAGGTGGTACTACTACTACAGGTGGTACTACAGGTGGTACTACAGGTGGTACTACTACTACTACAGGTGATACTACTACAGGTACTACTACTACTACAGGTGGTACTACAGGTGGTACTACAGGTGGTACTACAGGTGGTACTACTACTACTACAGGTGGTACTACAGGTGGTACTACAGGTGGTAGTATAGGTGGTACTACAGGTGGTATTACTACTACAGGTGGTACTACAGGTGGTACTACTACAGGTGGTACTACAGGTGGTACTACTACTACAGGTGGTACTACTACTACTACAGGTGGTACTACTACAGGTGGTACTACTACTACAGGTGGTACTACTACTACAGGTGGTACTACAGGTGGTAGTACAGGTGGTACTACAGGTGGTATTACTACTACAGGTGGTACTACAGGTGGTACTACTACTACTACAGGTGGTACTACAGGTGGTAGTACAGGTGGTACTACAGGTGGTATTACTACTACAGGTGGTACTACAGGTGGTACTACTACAGGTGGTACTACAGGTGGTACTACAGGTGATGTGGGTACCCGTATCCAGCGAGGAAGCTGAGGCTGGGAGGGCTGACTTCGTCGCTGAAGACGACGATGGTGAGGTCGTCGCTGGTCACAACGGCACCCTCCGTGTCATCGCAGCCGCTCGTCTCTGCGACACATAGCGGGGAAGTATGGACGTTGTGTTTATACCACCCCCCCACACCCCCACCTCCACCCACTCCGTTGTCCCTGCGACACATAGCGGGGAAGTATGGACGTTGTGTTTATAACCCCCCACACCCACCTCCACCCCACCCACCCCGTGGTCTGTGCGACGTATAGTGGGGAAGTATGGACGTTGTGGTGGTGGCAGGCTGTAGGAGTGTGAGTGTGATGGTGGTGGCAGGCTGTAGGAGTGTGAGTGTGATGGTGGTGGTGGAGGCTGTAGGAGTGTGAGTGTGATGGTGGTGGCAGGCTGTAGGAGTGTGAGTGTGATGGTGGAGGTAGGTTGTAGGAGTATGATGGTGGTCGCAGGCTGTAGGAGTGTGAGTGTGATGGTGGTGGCAGGCTGTAGGTGTGTGAGTGTGATGGTGGTGACAGGCTGTAGGAGTGTGAGTGTGAGTGTGGTGACAGGCTGTAGGTGTGCGAGTGTGATGGTGGTGGCAGGCTGTAGGTGTGTGAGTGTGATGGTGGTGGCAGGCTGTAGGTGTGTGAGTGTGGTGGTGGTGGCAGGCTGTAGGAGTGTGAGTGTGATGGTGGTGGCAGGCTGTAGGAGTGTGAGTGTGATGGTGGTGGTGACAGGCTGTAGGAGTGTGATGGTGGTGGCAGGCTGTAGGTGTGTGAGTGTGATGGTGGTGGTGACAGGCTGTAGGTGTGTGATGGTGGTGGCAGGCTGTAGGAGTGTGAGTGTGGTGGTGGTGGCAGGCTGTAGGAGTGTGAGTGTGATGGTGGTGGCAGGCTGTAGGTGTGTGAGTGTGATGGTGGTGGCAGGCTGTAGGAGTGTGAGTGTGATGGTGGTGGCAGGCTGTAGGAGTGTGAGTGTGATGGTGGTGGCAGGCTGTAGGTGTGTGAGTGTGATGGTGGTGGCAGGCTGTAGGTGTGTGAGTGTGATGGTGGTGACAGGCTGTAGGAGTGTGAGTGTGAGTGTGATGTCAGGCTGTAGGAGTGTGAGTGTGATGGTGGTGGCAGGCTGTAGGTGTGTGAGTGTGGTGGTGGTGGCAGGCTGTAGGAGTGTGATGGTGGTGACAGGCTGTAGGAGTGTGAGTGTGATGGTGGTGGCAGGCTGTAGGTGTGTGAGTGTGATGGTGGTGGCAGGCTGTAGGTGTGTGAGTGTGATGGTGGTGACAGGCTGTAGGAGTGTGAGTGTGAGTGTGATGTCAGGCTGTAGGAGTGTGAGTGTGATGGTGGTGGCAGGCTGTAGGTGTGTGATGGTGGTGGTGGTGGCAGGCTGTAGGTGTGTGAGTGTGATGGTGGTGGCAGGCTGTAGGTGTGTGAGTGTGATGGTGGTGACAGGCTGTAGGAGTGTGAGTGTGAGTGTGATGTCAGGCTGTAGGAGTGTGAGTGTGATGGTGGTGGCAGGCTGTAGGTGTGTGATGGTGGTGGTGGTGGCAGGCTGTAGGTGTGTGAGTGTGATGGTGGTGGCAGGCTGTAGGTGTGTGAGTGTGATGGTGGTGGCAGGCTGTAGGAGTGTGAGTGTGATGGTGGTGGCAGGCTGTAGGAGTGTGAGTGTGGTGGTGGTGGCAGGCTGTAGGAGTGTGAGTGTGATGGTGGTGGCAGGCTGTAGGAGTGTGAGTGTGATGGTGGTGGTAGGCTGTAGGAGTGTGATGGTGGTGACAGGCTGTAGGAGTGTGATGGTGGTGACAGGCTGTAGGTGTGTGATGGTGGTGGTGGTGGCAGGCTGTAGGAGTGTGAGTGTGGTGGTGGTGGCAGGCTGTAGGAGTGTGAGTGTGATGGTGGTGACAGGCTGTAGGTGTGTGAGTGTGATGGTGGTGGCAGGCTGTAGGAGTGTGAGTGTGATGGTGGTGGCAGGCTGTAGGTGTGTGAGTGTGGTGGCAGGCTGTAGGAGTGTGAGTGTGATGGTGGTGGCAGGCTGTAGGTGTGTGAGTGTGGTGGCAGGCTGTAGGAGTGTGAGTGTGATGGTGGTGGCAGGCTGTAGGTGTGTGAGTGTGGTGGCAGGCTGTAGGAGTGTGAGTGTGATGGTGGTGGCAGGCTGTAGGAGTGTGAGTGTGATGGTGGTGGCAGGCTGTAGGAGTGTGAGTGTGGTGGTGGTGGCAGGCTGTAGGTGTGTGAGTGTGGTGGTGGTGGCAGGCTGTAGGTGTGTGAGTGTGGTGGTGGTGGCAGGCTGTAGGTGTGTGAGTGTGGTGGTGGTGGCAGGCTGTAGGAGTGTGAGTGTGATGGTGGTGGCAGGCTGAAGGAGTGTGAGTGTGATGGTGGTGGCAGGCTGTAGGAGTGTGAGTGTGATGGTGGTGGCAGGCTGTAGGAGTGTGAGTGTGATGGTGGTGGCAGGCTGTAGGAGTGTGAGTGTGGTGTCAGGCTGTAGGTGTGTGAGTGTGATGGTGGTGGCAGGCTGTAGGAGTGTGAGTGTGATGGTGGTGGCAGGCTGTAGGTGTGTGAGTGTGATGGTGGTGGTGGTGGCAGGCTGTAGGTGTGTGAGTGTGATGGTGGTGGCAGGCTGTAGGTGTGTGAGTGTGATGGTGGTGGTGGCAGGCTGTAGGTGTGTGAGTGTGGTGGTGGTGGCAGGCTGTAGGTGTGTGAGTGTGATGGTGGTGGCAGGCTGTAGGAGTGTGAGTGTGAGTGTGGTGACATTCTGTAGGTGTGTGAGTGTGGTGGTGGTGGCAGGCTGTAGGAGTGTTAGTGTGATGGTGGTGACAGGCTGTAGGTGTGTGAGTGTGGTGGTGGTGGCAGGCTGTAGGAGTGTGAGTGTGATGGTGGTGGCAGGCTGTAGGAGTGTGAGTGTGATGGTGGTGGCAGGCTGTAGGTGTGTGAGTGTGATGGTGGTGACAGGCTGTAGGAGTGTGAGTGTGAGTGTGGTGGCAGGCTGTAGGAGTGTGATGGTGGTGGTGGAGGCTGTAGGAGTGTGAGTGTGATGGTGGTGGCAGGCTGTAGGAGTGTGAGTGTGATGGTGGTGGCAGGCTGTAGGAGTGTGATGGTGGTGGCAGGCTGTAGGTGTGTGAGTGTGATGGTGGTGGCAGGCTGTAGGTGTGTGAGTGTGGTGGTGGTGGCAGGCTGTAGGTGTGTGAGTGTGATGGTGGTGGTGGTGGCAGGCTGTAGGTGTGTGAGTGTGATGGTGGTGGCAGGCTGTAGGTGTGTGAGTGTGATGGTGGTGGCAGGCTGTAGGTGTGTGAGTGTGGTGGTGGTGGCAGGCTGTAGGTGTGTGAGTGTGATGGTGGTGGCAGGCTGTAGGAGTGTGAGTGTGAGTGTGGTGACATTCTGTAGGTGTGTGAGTGTGGTGGTGGTGGCAGGCTGTAGGAGTGTGAGTGTGATGGTGGTGGCAGGCTGTAGGAGTGTGAGTGTGATGGTGGTGACAGGCTGTAGGTGTGTGAGTGTGGTGGTGGTGGCAGGCTGTAGGAGTGTGAGTGTGATGGTGGTGGCAGGCTGTAGGAGTGTGAGTGTGATGGTGGTGGCAGGCTGTAGGAGTGTGAATGTGGTGGTGGTGGCAGGCTGTAGGAGTGTGAGTGTGATGGTGGTGGCAGGCTGTAGGTGTGTGAGTGTGGTGGTGGTGGCAGGCTGTAGGAGTGTGAGTGTGATGGTGGTGGCAGGCTGTAGGAGTGTGAGTGTGATGGTGGTGGCAGGCTGTAGGAGTGTGAGTGTGATGGTGGTGGCAGGCTGTAGGAGTGTGAGTGAGATGGTGGTGGCAGGCTGTAGGTGTGTGAGTGTGATGGCAGGCTGTAGGAGTGTGAGTGTGATGGTGGTGACAGGCTGTAGGAGTGTGAGTGTGGTGGTGGTGGCAGGCTGTAGGTGTGTGAGTGTGGTGGTGGTGGCAGGCTGTAGGAGTGTGAGTGTGATGGTGGTGGCAGGCTGTAGGAGTGTGAGTGTGGTGACAGGCTGTAGGAGTGTGAGTGTGATGGTGGTGGCAGGCTGTAGGAGTGTGAGTGTGATGGTGGTGACAGGCTGTAGGAGTGTGAGTGTGATGGTGGTGGCAGGCTGTAGGAGTGTGAGTGTGATGGCGGTGGCAGGCTGTAGGAGTGTGAGTGTGAGTGTGATGGCAGGCTGTAGGAGTGTGAGTGTGATGGTGGTGGTGGTGGCAGGCTGTAGGAGTGTTAGTGTGATGGTGGTGACAGGCTGTAGGTGTGTGAGTGTGGTGGTGGTGGCAGGCTGTAGGTGTGTGAGTGTGATGGTGGTGGCAGGCTGTAGGAGTGTGAGTGTGATGGTGGTGGCAGGCTGTAGGTGTGTGAGTGTGGTGGTGGTGGCAGGCTGTAGGAGTGTGAGTGTGATGGTGGTGGCAGGCTGTAGGAGTGTGAGTGTGGTGGTGGTGGCAGGCTGTAGGAGTGTGAGTGTGATGGTGGTGGCAGGCTGTAGGAGTGTGAGTGTGATGGTGGTGGCAGGCTGTAGGTGTGTGATGGTGGTGGCAGGCTGTAGGTGTGTGAGTGTGATGGTGGTGGCAGGCTGTAGGAGTGTGAGTGTGATGGTGGTGGCAGGCTGTAGGTGTGTGAGTGTGGTGGTGGTGGCAGGCTGTAGGTGTGTGAGTGTGATGGTGGTGGCAGGCTGTAGGTGTGTGAGTGTGGTGGTGGTGGCAGGCTGTAGGTGTGTGATGGTGGTGGCAGGCTGTAGGTGTGTGAGTGTGGTGGTGGTGGCAGGCTGGGTCCTCACCTCTGATGCTCCACCACTCCTGCGCCTGGCCTGAGCTCTCTGCACTCCGCTTGAGGTGCAGCATCACGTTGGAGAAGAGGTCACTAGGGTCTCCTGGGACACACGGGGGAGGTGGGCGGAGGGGTGAGTGGGTGGGTGAGTGGGTGGGTGGGTGGCTGGGTGAGTGGGTGGGTGGGTGAGTGGGTGAGTGGGTGAGTGGGTGGGTGAGTGGGTGGGTGGGTGAGTGGGTGGGTGAGTGAGTGGGTGAGTGGGTGAGTGGGTGGGTGGGTAAGTGGGTGAGTGGGTGAGTGGGTAGGTAAGTGGGTGAGTGGGTGGGTGGGTGGGTGAGTGAGTGGGTGAATGAGTAGGTGAGTGGGTGAGTGGGTGGGTGAATGAGTGGGTGAGTGGGTGAGTGGGTGGGTGAATGTGTGAGTGGGTGAGTGGGTGGGTGAATGGGTGGGTGAGTGGGTGAATGAGTGGGTGGGTGAGTGGGTGGGTGAGTGGGTGAATGAGTGGTTGGGTGAGTGGATGAATGTGTGAGTGGATGAATGTGTGGGTGGGTGGCTGAATGAGTGGGTGGGTGGTTGAGTGTGTGAATGTGTGGGTGGGTGAGTGGTTGAGCGAGTGAGTGGGTGAGTGGGTGAATGTGTGGGTGGGTAAGTGGGTGAATGAGTGGGTGGGTGAGTGAGTGAATGAGTGGGTGGGTGGGTGGTTGATTGGGTGAATGTTTGGGTGGATGAGTGGTTGAGCGAGTGGGTGGTCAAGAGTGAGTGAATGTGTGGGTGAGTGGTTGAGCGAGTGAGTGGGTGAGTGGGTGGTTGAGTGAGTTTGGAATGTGTGGGTTGGTGGGTGAATGTGGGTGGATGTGTGGTTGAGCGAGTGGGTGGGTGGGGGAGTGGGTGCATAAGTGGGTTTGTGAGTGGATGAGTGGATGCATGAGTGGGTGAGGGGTTTGAGTGAGTGGGTGGGTGAGTAGGTGGGTGAGTCGGTGAATGAGTGGGTAGGGTGAGTGAGTGGATGAGTGGTTGAGTGAGTAGGTGAGTGGGTAAATGAGTGGGTGGGTGGGTGAATGGGTGAGTGGTTGAGTGCATGGGTGGGTGGGTGATTGGTTGAGTAAGTGGGTTGGTGGGTCAGTGGGTGACTGTGTGAGTGGGTGGGTGAGTAGGTGAGTGAGTGGGTGGGTGAGTGGGTGAATGAGTGGGTGGGTGGGTGGGTGAGTGGGTGAATGAGTGGGTGGGTGAATGAGTCAGTGGTTGGGTGAGTGGGTCAATGAGTGAATGTGTGGGTGAGTGGTTGAGCGGGTGAGTGGGTGAGTGGGTGGTTGAGTGAGTTTGGACTGTGTGGGTTGGTGGGTGAATATGTGGGTGGATGTGTGGTTGAGCGAGCGGGCGGGTGGGTGGGTGGGGGAGTGGGTGAGCGGGTGAGTGAATGAATATGTGGGCGGGTGTGTGGTTGAGCGAGTGGTTGGGTGGGTGGGTGAATGGGTGAGTGGGTGGGTGGGTGAGTGGGTGAATGAATGGGTGGGTGAGTGGGTGAATGAGTGGGTGGGTGAGTGGGTGAATGTATGGGTGGGTGGGTGAATGAGTGGGTGGGTGGTTGAGTGTGTGAATGTGTGGGTGGGTGAGTGGTTGAGCGAGCGGATGGGTGGGTGGGTGGGGGAGTGGATGAATGTGGGCGGGTGTGTGGTTGAGCGAGCGGGTGGGTGGGCGGGTGAGTGGGTGGGTGAACGAGTCGGCCAATGGGTGAGCGGGCGAGCGAGCGGGGGGGGGGGGAGCGGGCGGGGTGGATTCTTCCTGCCACTCACCCTCTGTGGACATCTCCTCCACAGGCGAGGCGGTAGGGCCGCTCATCCCTCGGATGTATCTGGGGAACACCTTGCTGATGCACCTGGTGAGCACGCGAGAGACCCCACGCACAAACAACAAAGGTTCCCCTGGTAGGCCCACGCAGGCTGTCGGGGCAAGTGCTGTTAGCGAGCAGCAGCTACACAGACAAAGCTCCCCCGTGTAGCCTCTAACAGGCTTTCAGGGCAAGTGCTGTTTGTGAGCAGCACTAGCACCTACACAAAGGTACCCCGTGTAGCCTCTGACAGGCAGTCGGGGCAAGTGCTGTTAGCGAGCAGCAGCTACACAGACAAAGGTACCCCGTGTAGACTCTAACAGGCTTTCGGGGCAAGTGCTGTTTGCGAGCAGCACTAGCACCTACACAGACAAAGGTACCCCGTGTAGCCTCTAACAGGCAGTCGGGGCAAGTGCTGTTTGCGAGCAGCAGCAGCACAGACAAAGCTCCCCCGTGTAGCCTCTAACAGGCTGTTGGGGCAAGTGCTGTTAGCGAGTAGCAGTAGCACAAAGCTCCCCCGTGTAGCCTCTAACAGGCTGTCGGGGCAAGTGCTGTTAACGAGTAGCAGTAGCACCTACACAGACACAGACAAAGGTACCCCGTGTAGCCTCTAACAGGCAGTCGAGGCAAGTGCTGTTAGCGAGCAGCAGTAGCACAGACAAAGGTACCCCGTGTAGCCTCTAACAGGCTGTTGGGGCAAGTGCTGTTTGCGAGCAGCAGTAGCACCTACACAGACACAGACAAAGGTACACCGTGTAGCCTCTAACAGGGTGTCGGGGCAAGTGCTGTTAGCGAGCAGCACCCGCACAGACAAAGCTCCCCCGTGTAGCCTCTAACAGGCTGTCGGGGCAAGTGCTGTTAGCGAGCAGCACCCACACAGACAAAGCTCCCCCGTGTAGCCTCTAACAGGTTGTTGGGGCAAGTGCTGCTAGCGAGCAGCACCCACACAGACAAAGGTACCCCGTGTAGCCTCTAACAGGCTGTTGGGCAAGTGCTGTTAGCGAGCAGCAGCTACACAGACAAAGGTACCCCGTGTAGCCTCTAACAGGCTGTCGGGGCAAGTGCTGTTAGCGGGTAGCAGTAGCACCTACACAGACACAGACAAAGGTACTCCGTGTAGCCTCTAACAGGCTGTCGGGGCAAGTGCTGTTAGCGAGTAGCAGTAGTACCTACACAGACACAGACAAAGCTCCCCCGTGTAGCCTCTAACAGGCTGTCGGGGCAAGTGCTGTTTGCGAGCAGCAGCAGCACAGACAAAGCTCCCCCGTGTAGCCTCTAACAGGCTGTCGGGGCAAGTGCTGTTAGCGAGTAGCAGTAGTACCTACACAGACACAGGCAAAGCTCCCCCGTGTAGCCTCTAACAGGCTTTCGGGGCAAGTGCTGTTTGTGAGCAGCAGTAGCACCTACACAGACACAGACAAAGGTACCCCGTGTAGCCTCTAACAGGCTGTCGGGGCAAGTGCTGTTAGCGAGTGCCAGCACCTACACAGACACAGACAAAGCTACCCCGTGTAGCCTCTAACAGGCTGTCGGGGCAAGTGCTGTTAGCAGCAGCACCTGTGAAGGCCGGCACGGTGGCACACGAGGGGGGCTGGTGGCCAGCAGCGCGCCCGGCCGCCTTTGTCTCCCCCCCCCGAGTGCTGATACTTCCCTACACTCCGCACCGGGTACTCCTCTCGGGGCCGAGTCGACCTAGGGGAGGACTCGGGACCGGGTTCAGATGATCGGTGCCGTCACCGTTCATCGTGACCGCGAGCGGGTGAATCGAACTCGGGGCGTGTGTCAGGGTTCGCGACACGGTGCTGTGCTAACCGCTGCACCACCGCTCTCCACGTACAATGCCCCTTGCGCGTGAGCGTTTGTGCACGGAGGAGCGGTGGTGCAGCGGTTAGCGCTACGAACCCGGCTACGAACCCGGGAGTTCGATTCCCGCTCACGGCCACCATCACCACCGGTGACGATCGTCTGAACCGGTCCCGGGCCTCCCCTAGGTCGACTCAGCCTCAAATGAGTTACCTGGTGCGGTGTGGTAGTAAACATCGCCACTGGGGAGACAAAGGCGGCCCGGCGTGGTTGCTAGCCACCCACCCCCGCTCCGTGTGCCGTTTCCGGCCTTCGCAGGTGCTGCTCGCTAACGGCGCTTGCCCCAACAGTCCGTTACAGGCTACACTGGGGGATGGATCTTTGTCCTTGTGCGCGTGCGTGTGTGTGTGTGGATCCTTGCAGTCACGAAAGCTTAAGCATTCTATAGGTCAACTCGTTGGGCATGGTGCTGGCCACCCACCACCCTCGTGTGTGCCCACAGTGGTGGGGCCTGGATAGGCCCCTGCCGCTGCCGCCGCTTGCCCCGACCGGCGCCGTTTGAGGCTGCACGGGGTGGGGGCGGTGGGGGGGGGGGGGGGGGGAGGGGGGGGGAGGTATCTTCGTCGTCTGCCGTACGTACACGGAGTGGTTGTTGGCGTGCCTGTGCTCCAACATGTCCGCGAGACGCACCCGGGGCTCGGCGTTTCTCTCGAGCATCACCACGTGTTTCTCCATCGCGAACTCCGCCTTGCCGCCCATGCTCAGGTTCCTGCGCGCCACGCGAGGTTTTTGGGTTCCCAGTTTCATTTTTTCGGGGCGAGCAATGCGGCTCTCGACTCGGGTGCAACCACGAACGCGACAGAAGCACGAACAAGCGGGGAAAACAGGCATCTTCAAAGTGACGCAGAAAAATTCCAGGTTAAAAAAAAAAAAAAAGCACCGCATTTCCAGCGGGATGCGAGTCGAACGACAACAACCACGAGGCGATTTGGATTCAGAGTTAATCGGGCTGACTCTGCAGTACCGCAACGGACAAACAAGCGTGGCCAAAACCAAAACGTTTTCAAAATCGCCAAAACAAAGCTACAAAAACAACGCAACGACTGTGATTGGCAGGAACCGTGATTCAAATCGAACAATAAACGATACACGCGCGCGCGCGCGCGTAAACACGTACGGCCAAACTTTGCAGCCATGGCTGGCTGAATGAGTCACTCCATAACAGCAGGAAGTATCAAGTAGCATAACATGGAGTGTAACAAACGCATCGTGGCTGTTTCTCCCCCCCCCCTCCTCCGCTCCGAACATAGATGTACCCGTCCGTCTGAACAAAGCTCGTCGCTGTCCGTGGCGCTAACGTTGAAAAGAAAATAAAAACCGCCACCCATTTTTTTCGCCATGTGCCATTGTAATGTATGACGGCTAGCACGTGCGGCCTAGCGGTCGGGCTCAGGTGCGGCCTAGCGCGTGCGGCCTAGCATGTGGCCTACCGGGGTCAGGCTCACGTGCGGCCTAGCGCGTGCGGCCTAGCATGTGGCCTACCGGGGTCAGGCTCACGTGCGGCCTAGCGCGTGCGGCCTAGCATGTGGCCTACCGGGGTCAGGCTCACGTGCGGCCTAGCGCGTGCGGTCTAGCATGTGGCCTACCGGGGTCAGGCTCACGTGCGGCCTAGCGCGTGCGGCCTAGCATGTGGCCTACCGGGATCAGGCTCACGTGCGGCCTAGCGCGTGCGGCCTAGCATGTGCCCTACCGGGGTCAGGCTCACGTGCGGCCTAGCGGGTGCGGCCTAGCATGTGGCCTACCGGGGTCAGGCTCACGTGCGGCTCACAGCCGGCGAGCTGGCGGTCGAGCGGGGTGGGGAGTGGGGGGCGGGGGGGGCCCAGCGGGGGGCCCCGAGGGTGGAGTTTGAGGGGGGGGGGGGGGGGGGGCTCCCCCCTCTCACCGCTGCAGCGTCCAGGCGAAGCGCAGGGCGATGTCCGTGGTGCCGTCGCGCAGCTCGGTGATCATGTCGGCGCGGCTGGGCGGGCTGACGCTCCACACGGAGCCCGAGTTGCCCTTGATCTGGGCGCGTGTCACGTCCCGGTGCTCGTACATGGACATGAACTGGAGCGCCGACTGTGGCACAGCACGGAGGACAGTTTGCAGGCGCCAAGCCTCACGCACGAGGGGGCGTAGCCGCGCGAGCCGCGCGGCGCCTGACCTCGGCTGTGCGCGCAGCGGCAACGTACACAAAGGCACGAAGCAAGAAAAACGTCTAGCAATAGGTTTGTACCCCTTTTGACTGGCGCACAAAAAACCGACACCTTGATTCGAGGCATCGTGTCTGCAATAGCCGCAACACAAGCAAGTCAAAATGCAAACAAAAAAGAGACAACGCTGATAATGATGATGGCACTGTCCTTGAATTTGATTGGTCCACACCCGAGACGGATTTTCTTAGAGCCCTTAGTCTTAGAGCCCTTTAGTCTCCACTGGTGTTGGACCAGAAGACGCCAAAAGGCGTACAACTCAAAAACAGTGCACCATCAGAGTTATTGAGGGCTCGGGGTGAGCATTTACATTATGAGACCTCCTTTGCCAGTAACAAGATATAGTAATAGGTTTTTACCCTTTTAACTGGCACAAAAACTGACACCTTTATTCAAGGCATCGTGTTTGCAATAGCCACAACACAAGCAGTCAAAATGCAAACAAAAAGAGACAACTCTGATAATGATGATGGCACTGTCCTTGAATTTGATTGGTCCACACCCGAGACGGCTTTTCTTAGAGCCCTTAGTCTTAGAGCCCTTTAGTCTCCACTGGTGTTGGACCAGAAGACGCCAAAAGGCGTACAACTCAAAAACAGCGTACCATCAGAGTTATTGAGGGCTCGGGGTGAGCATTTACATTATGAGACCTCCTTTGCCGGTAACAAGATATAGTAATAGGTTTTTACCCTTTTAAACTGGCACAAAAACTGACACCTTTATTCAAGGCATCATGTTTGCAATGATCACAACACAAGCAGTCAAAATGCAAACAAAAAAGAGACAACTCTGATAATGATATTGGCACTGTCCTTGAATTTGATTGGTTCACACCCGAGACGGCTTTTCTTAGAGCCCTTTAGCCTCCACTGGTGTTGGACCAGAAGACGCCAAAAGGCGTACAACTCAAAAACAGCGCACCATCAGAGTATTGAGGGCTCGGGCTGAGCATTTACATTATGAGACCTCCTTTGCCAGTAACAAGATATAGGAATAGGTTTTACCCTTTTGATGCCTTTAATAAAGGTGACAGTTTTGTGGTTGAAGCACGGTGCGGTGTGGTGTGGTGCAGTGTGGTGTGGTGTGCTGCAGTGTCGTGTGGTGTGCTGCAGTGTGGTGTGGTGTGCTGCAGTGTGGTGTGGTGTGCTGCAGTGTGGTGTGGTGCAGTGTGGTGTGCTGCGGTGTGCTGCGGTGTGCTGCGGTGCGGCTCACCCCACTGGTGCCATGCTTGGCTTTGAGGGCTTCATATTCATCTTCCTGCAGCACGAGCAGCTCGGGGTGCTGGGCACTCATCGTGAACAGCGGCTGTACACAACAACAACAACAACATCGTCAACTACATCGTCAACAACTACATCGTCAACAACAACAACTACATCGTCAACAAACATCAACAACTACATCGTCAACAAACATCAATAACAAACATCGTCAACAAACATCAACAACTACATCAACAACAACTACATCGTCAACAAACATCAACAACTACATCAACAACAACTACATCGTCAACAAACATCAATAACAAACATCAACTACATCATCAACAAACATCAACAACAACAACATCGTCAACAACTACATCGTCAACAAACAGCAATAACAAACATCAACAACTACATCGTCAACAAACATCAACTACATCATCAACAAACATCAATAACAAACAACAACTACATCATCAACAAACATCAACAACTACAACAACAACATCGTCAACAAACATCAACAACTACATCATCAACAAACATCAATAACAAACATCAACTACATCATGAACAAACATTAACAACAACAACAACAACAACAACATCGTCAACAACTACATCGTCAACAAACAACAACTACATCATCAACAAACATCAATAACAAACATCAATAACAAACATCAACAACTACATCATCAACAACTACATCGTCAACAAACATCAACAACTACATCATCAACAAACATCAATAACAAACATCAACTACATCATCAACAAACATCAACAACAACATCGTCAACAAACATCAATAACAAACATCAACAACTACATCGTCATGGGTCTCTGTGTGGTGAGTCTGTGGGTCTCTCTGTGTGGTGAGTGTTTGGGTCTCTCTGTGTGGTGAGTCTATGGGTCTCTGTGTGCTGAGTCTATGGGTCTCTGTGTGGTGAGTCTATGGGTCTCTGTGTGGTGAGTTTATGGGTCTCTGTGTGGTGAGTCTATGGGTCTCTGTGTGGTGAGTCTATGGGTCTCTGTGTGGTGAGTCTGTGGGTCTCTGTGTGGTGAGTCTATGGGTCTCTGTGTGGTGAGTCTGTGGGTCTCTGTGTGATGAGTCTCTGGTTATCTGTGTGCGCCAACACGCTCCAACACGCTCCAACACCCTCCAAGACACGCTCCAAGACACGCTCCAACACACGCTCAGAGACACGCTCCAAGACACACTCCAACAAGCTCCAACACACGCTCAGAGACACGCTCCAACACGCTCCAACATGCTCCAACACACGCTCCAACACACGCTCAGAGACACGCTCCAAGACACACTCCAACAAGCTCCAACACACGCTCAGAGACACGCTCCAACACGCTCCAACACACGCTCCAACACACGCTCCAAGACACGCTCCAACACACGCTCCAAGACACGCTCCAATACACTCCAACAAGCTCCAACACACACTCCAACACACGCTCAGAGACACGCTCCAAGACACACTCCAACAAGCTCCAATAAGCTCCAACACACGCGCTCCAACACACGCTCCAACACACTCTCCAACACACGCTCCAACACACGCTCCAACAAGCTCCAACACACGCTCCAACACACGCTCTAAGACACGCTCCAAGACACTCCAACACACGCTCCAACACACACGCTCCAACACACACGCTCCAACACACGCTCTAAGACACTCTCCAACACACGCTCCAACACACGCTCCAACACACGCTCTAAGACACTCTCCAACACACGCTCCAACACAAGCTCCAACACACGCGCTCCAACACACACGCTCCAACACACTCTCCAAGACACCCTCCAACACACGCTCCAACACACGCTCCAACACGCTCCAAGAGACGCTCCAACACACGCTCCAAGACACGCTCCAAGACACACTCTCCAAGACACACTCTCCAACACGCTCCAACACACGCTCCAACACACGCTCCAACACACGCTCCAACACACACTCCAACACACGCTCCAACACACACTCCAACACGCTCCAACACACACGCTCCAACACACACGCTCCAACACACACGCTCTAAGACACTCTCCAACACACGCTCCAACACAAGCTCCAACACACGCTCCAACAAGCTCCAACAAGCTCCAACAAGCTCCAACACACGCTCCAACACACACGCTCCAACACACTCTCCAACACACTCTCCAACACACGCTCCAAGACACCCTCCAACACACCCTCCAACACACGCTCCAACACACAAGCTCCGACACACACGCTCCAACAAGCTCCGACACACACGGTCCAACACACGCTCCAAGACACTCCAACACGCTCCAACACGCGCTCCAACAAGCTCCAACACACACGCTCCAACACACGCTCCAACACACACTCCAACACAAGCTCCAACACAGACGCTCCAACACACACGCTCCAACAGTCTCCAACACACGCTCCAACACACGCTCCAAGACACTCCAACACACGCTCCAAGACACGCTCCAACACACGCTCCATCACACGCTTTAAGACACTCTCCAACACACGCTCCAACACACACGCTCCAACACAGTCTCCAACACACGCTCCAACACACGCTCCAACAAGCGCCAACACACACGCTCCAACACACTCTCCAACACACGCTCCAACACACTCTCCAACACACGCTCTAAGACACTCTCCAACACACGCTCCAACACACGCTCCAACACACGCTCCAACACACTCTCCAACACACTTTCCAACACACTCTCCAACACACTCTCCAACACACGCTCCAACACACGCTCCAAGACACGTTCTAAGACACGCTCCAACACACGCTCCAAGACACTCCGACACACACGCTCCGACACACACGCTCCGACACACACGCTCCGACACACACGCTCCGACACACACGCTCCGACACACACGCTCCGACACACACGCTCCGACACACACGCTCCGACACACACGCTCCGACACACACGCTCTAAGACACACTCCAACACACACGCTCCAACACACACGCTCCAACACACTCTCCAACACACTCTCCAACACACGCTCCAACACACGCTCTAAGACACTCTCCAACACACTCTCCAACACACGCTCCAACACACACTCCAACACACATGCTCCAACACACACTCTCCAACACACGCTCCAACACACACTCCAACACACACGCTCCAACACACACGTTCCAACACACACGCTCCCTGACACACACGCTCCAACACACACGCTCCAACACACACGCTCCAACACACACGCTCCAACACACACGCTCCAACACACACGCTCCAACACACACTCTCCAACACACACGCTCCAACACACACGCTCCAACACACACGCTCCAACACACTCTCCAACACACTCTCCAACACACTCTCCAACACACTCTCCAACACACTCTCCAACACACTCTCCAACACACGCTCCAACACACACACTCCAACACGCTCCCCGACACACACGCTCCAACACACACGCTCCAACACACACGCTCCAACACACACGCTCCAACACACACGCTCCCCGACACACTCGCTCCAACACACACGCTCCCCGACACACACGCTCCAACACACACTCCAACACACGCTCCAACACACACTCCAACACACACTCCAACACATGCTCCAACACACTCTCCAACACACACGCTCCCCGACACACACGCTCCGACACACACGCTCCAACACACACGCTCCCCGACACACACGCTCCCCGACACACACGCTCCCCGACACACACGCTCCAACACACACGCTCCCCGACACACACGCTCCCCGACACACACTCCGACACACACTCCCCGACACACACGCTCCCCGACACACACGCTCCAACACACACGCTCCCCGACACACACGCTCCCCGACACACACGCTCCAACACACACGCTCCGACACACACGCTCCGACACACACGCTCCGACACACACGCTCCAACACACACGCTCCAACACACTCTCCAACACACTCTCCAACACACTCTCCAACACACACGCTCTCCGACACACACGCTCCAACACACATGCTCCAACACACACTCTCCAACACACACGCTCCAACACACGCTCCAACACACACGCTCCAACACACTCTCCAACACACTCTCCAACACAAGCTCCAACACACACTCCAACACACGCTCCAACACACACTCCAACACACGCTCCAACACACACTCCAACACACACTCCAACACACTCTCCAACACACTCTCCAACAAGCTCCAACACGCGCTCCAAGACACTCCAACACACTCCAACAAGCTCCAACACACTCTCCAACACATGCTCCAACACACACACTCCAGCACACGCTCCCCGACACACACACTCCAACACGCTCCAACACTCGCTCCAACACACACGCTCCCCGACACACACGCTCCAACACACACTCCAACACACGCTCCAACACACACTCCAACACACACTCCAACACACTCTCCAACACATGCTCCAACACACTCTCCAACACACACGCTCCCCGACACACACGCTCCGACACACACGCTCCAACACACACGCTCCCCGACACACACGCTCCCCGACACACACGCTCCAACACACACGCTCCCCGACACACACGCTCCCCGACACACACTCCGACACACACTCCCCGACACACACGCTCCCCGACACACACGCTCCAACACACACGCTCCCCGACACACACGCTCCCCGACACACACGCTCCAACACACACGCTCCAACACACGCTCCAACACACACGCTCCGACACACACGCTCCGACACACACGCTCCAACACACTCTCCAACACACTCTCCAACACACTCTCCAACACACACGCTCTCCGACACACACGCTCCAACACACATGCTCCAACACACACTCTCCAACACACACGCTCCAACACACGCTCCAACACACACGCTCCAACACACACGCTCCAACACACTCTCCAACACACTCTCCAACACACACTCCAACACACGCTCCAACACACACTCCAACACACGCTCCAACACACACTCCAACACACACTCCAACACACTCTCCAACAAGCTCCAACACGCGCTCCAAGACACTCCAACACACTCCAACAAGCTCCAACACACGCTTCAACACACTCTCCAACAAGCTCCAACACGCGCTCCAAGACACTCCAACACACTCCAACAAGCTCCAACACACGCTTCAACACACTCTCCAACAAGCTCCAACACGCGCTCCAAGACACTCCAACACACTCCAACAAGCTCCAACACACGCTTCAACACACTCTCCAACACACGCTCCAACACACGCTCCGACACACACGCTCCAACACACACGCTCCAACACACACTCTCCAACACACACGCTCCGACACACACGCTCCCCGACACACACTCTCCAACACACTCTCCAACACACGCTCCAACACACTCTCCAACACAAGCTCCAACACAAGCTCCAACACACACTCCAACACACTTTCCAACACACTCTCCAACACACTCTCCAACAAGCTCCAACACGCGCTCCAAGACACTCCAACACACTCCAACAAGCTCCAACACACGCTTCAACACACTCTCCAACACACACGCTCCAACACACACGCTCCAACACACACGCTCCAACACACACGCTCCAACACACACGCTCTCCAACACACACGCTCCAACACACACGCTCCCCGACACACACGCTCCCCGACACACACTCTCCAACACACACTCTCCAACACACACGCTCCCCAACACACACGCTCCCCGACACACACTCTCCAACACACTCTCCAACACACACACGCTCCAACACACACTCTCCAACACACACTCTCTCCAACACACACACTCCAACACGCTCCGACACACACTCTCCAACACACACGCTCCCCGACACACACACGCTCCCCGACACACACGCTCCCCGACACACACACTCCAACACGCTCCAACACACACGCTCCAACACACACACTCCAACACGTGCTCCAACACACTCTCCAACACATGCTCCAACACACTCTCCAACACACACACTCTCCAACACACACGCTCCAACACACTCTCCAACACACACGCTCTCCAACACACACGCTCCAACACTCGCTCCAACACACACGCGCTCCAACACACACGCTCCCCAACACACACTCTCCCCGACACACACGCTCCAACACACACGCTCCCCGACACACACGCTCCAACACACACGCTCCCCGACACACACGCTCCCCGACACACACGTTCCAACACACACGCTCCCCAACACACACTCTCCGACACACACGCTCCAACACACACGCTCCCCAACACACACGCTCCAACACACACACTCCAACACGCTCCCCGACACACACGCTCCAACACACGCTCCAACACACACGCTCTCCGACACACACGCTCCAACACACACGCTCCCCGACACACACGCTCCAACACACACGCTCCCCGACACACACGCTCCCCGACACACACGCTCCAACACACACGCTCCCCGACACACACTCTCCAACACACGCTCCAACACACACACTCCAGCACACGCTCCCCGACACACACGCTCCAACACACACGCTCCCCGACACACACACGCTCCAACACACACGCTCCAACACACACGCTCCAACACACACGCTCCAACACACACGCTCCCCGACACACACACTCCAACACGCTCCCCGACACACACGCTCCCCGACACACACGCTCCAACACACACGCTCCCCGACACACACTCTCCAACACACACACTCCAGCACACGCTCCGACACACACTCTCCAACACACACTCCGACACACACGCTCCAACACACACTCTCCAACACACACGCTCTCCGACACACACGCTCCCCGACACACACACTCTCCAACACACACTCCGACACACACGCTCCCCAACACACACGCTCCCCGACACACACGCTCCAACACACACGCTCCCCGACACACACGCTCCCCAACACACACGCTCCCCGACACACACGCTCCGACACACACGCTCCCCGACACACTCTCCAACACACTCTCCAACACACGCTCCAACACACACTCCAACACACACTCTCCAACACATGCTCCAACACTCGCTCCAACACACACGCTCCAACACACACACGCTCCAACACACACGCTCCCCGACACACACGCTCCAACACACACACTCCCCGACACACACTCTCCAACACGCTCCCCGACACACACACACACACGCCGGGAGGCGCCAGCGTGCACCTGGTAGCGCCCCAGCGTGATGGTGATGGTGACGTCGATGGGCGTGTTGGCCTGGCCTGCCACCGACTTGAGCAACGACATGAAGAGCAGCGGGAACCACACGATGCAGATGAGCAGCACCACGATCATGCCGCCCATGCCGTACTTGACCACTTTCTTCTTCTTCTGTCCCTTGGGCTGTGGGTACCTCTGTCGGGAGGGCGGGCAAGTGGGGTGGGGGTGGGGTGATGGGGTGGGTGAGGTGGTTGGGTGGGGGTGGGGGGGGTGGGGGTGGGGTGGGTGGGGTGGGGTGGGGTGGGGTGGGGTGGGGTGGGTGGGTGGGGTGGGTGGGTGGGGTGGGTGGGTGGGGGTGGGGAGTGGGTGGGGTGGGGTGAGGTGATTGGGTGGGGTGGGGTGGGTGGGGTGGGGTGGGGTGGGGTGGGTGGGGTGGGTGGGTGGGGTGGGTGGGTGGGTGGGGTGGGTGCGTGGGTGGGGTGGGGGTGGGGTGATTGGGTGGGGTGGGGTGGGGTGGTGGTGGGTGGGGGTGGGGTGAGGTGGTTGGGTGGGGTGAGGTGGGGTGGGGTGATTGGGTGGGGTGGGGTGGGTGGGGTGGGTGGGGTGGGTGGCATGGGGGCGGGCATGTGGGTGGGGTGGGTGGGTGGGGTGGTTAGTATTGGTGGTGTCAATGGGTGGCGTGGGGGCGGGCAGGTGGGGTGGGGTGGGTGGGGTGGGTGGGTGGGGTGGGTGGGGTAGGGTGGGGTGAGGTGGGGTGAGGTGATTGGGTGGGGTGGGTGAGGGGAGTGGGTTGGGTGAGTGGGGTGGGTGGGGTGGGGTGGGTGGGGTGGGGTGGGTGGGGTGGGGTGAGGTGATTGGGTGGGGTGGGTGGGGGTGGTTGGCATTGGTGGCGTCAATGGGTGGCGTGGGGGCGGGCAGGTGGGGTGGGGTGGCGAGTGGGCGGCGCCGTGGGGTGGTGGAGGGCAATGTCGCACAACCTCAAAACGAGCATTATGTGGTTCCCACCGCACTACCCACCCCCACCGCCCCCACGAACGCACGCCCCCACTAAACACTCGAGGAGGAATCACGTGGTGCGATGGGTTTTCACCCGAGGACCCCGCTAGCAGGGACGTTCCACGGTTTCCCCCTGACCAGGAAATTGGCTGAGCCCCCCCCCCCCCTCCAAAAAAGGGGGGGCATGGAGCTTTCCAGGCCGGCCGCGACCAAGCATACACAGCCAGTTTACCCTGGCGACAGGCTAAACAGCGGGCTGGGAGGGAAAAGCCTCCAGGCGTAGAGGAGGATTTAAGAGGGAGGAACCGAGGGGATTACCGGTGAGTCAGCGGCGGGGGAAACGCAGGCACAGGGACAATGGAAAGGGTGGTTGGGGGGGTGGTGGTGGTGGGGGATGACGTGACCCCCTCCCCCCGCCCCCCGCCCCCCGCCCCCCGCTCCCCGGCCCCCCGGCCCCCCGCAACGGCCAAAGCGCTCAAAACGTCCGCAAACGAGGATTCGATTGGACGGCGCAGGATGACGTCACGTGACCCGGGGGTCAAGGGGGCTTCGGGAACAGTGGGGGTGGAGGGAGGGAGAGATTGGGTCAGAGTTCGTTCTGGAGCGGGAGAGAGGTGAATACCGGCGGGGAGTGGGGAGGGGGGCATCAGCCCCCCCCCCCACAATTACGTGAACGTGAATTATCCGTAATGGAGGTTTTTTTTTTGGGGGGGGGGGGGGGTAAAATCGTGTAAATATATAAATGTTGCGTCGTGAAACTCCGCCACCACCCGACACAGCCAACCACTACACTATACACTACACTATACACTACACTATACACTACAATATACACTACACTATATACTACACTACACCACACACTACACTACACGCTACACTACACACTGCACTATACACTGCACTATACACTACACTATACACTACACTATACACTACACTATACACTACACTATACACTACACTATACACTACACTACACTATACACTACACTATACACTACATTATACACTATACACTACACGCTACACTATACACTGCACTATACACTACACTATACACTACACACTACACTATACACTACACTATACACTGCACTATACACTGCACTATACACTACACTATACACTACTACACTATACACTACTACACTATACACTACACTACACACTACACTATACACTACACTAAACACTACACACTACACTACACACTACTATACACTACGCTATATACTACAAACTACACTACACTATACACTACGCTATATACTACAAACTACACTACACTATACACTACTCTATATACTACAAACTACACTACACTATACACTACTACACTATACACTACTACACTATACACTACACTATGCACTACACACTACACTATACACTACACACTACTATACACGACTGTACACTACACTATACACTACTATACACTACTACACTATACACTACTACACTATACACTACTATACACTACACTATACAACTACTATACACTACTATACACTACACTAAACACTACACTACACACACTATACACTACTATACACTACACTCTACACTACTATACACTCGACCATATACTACACTATACACTACTACACACTACACTATACACTACACACTACTATACACGACTGTACACTACACTATACACTACTATACACTACACTATACAACTACTATACACTACCATACACTACACTATAATACACTACTATACACTACTATGCACTACACTATACACTACTATACACTAATTCAGCATGCTACTTTGCTGGCTTAGTCTCTGACACGGCCATCGTGAACCCTCTGACAGAGACACCCAGACCCAGGGCTTGAACCCAGCCTCTCAGTGTCTCTGACACGGCCATTATGAACCCCCTGATAGAGAGAGAGACACCCAGACCCAGGGCTCGAACCCAGGCTCTCAGTGTCTCCGACACGGCCATTATGAACCCCCTGATAGAGAGAGAGACACCCAGACCCAGGGCTCGAACCCAGGCTCTCAGTGTCTCCGACACGGCCACTATGAACCCACTGACAGAGAGAGAGACACCCAGACCCAGGGCTTGAACCCAGGCTCGCAATGTCTCTGACACGGCCACTATAAACCCCCTGATAGAGAGAGACACCCAGACCCAGGACTCGAACCCAGGTTCTCAGTGTCTCTGACACGGCCACTATAAACCCCCTGATAGAGAGAGAGAGAGACACCCAGACCCAGGGCTCGAACCCAGGCTCTCAGTGTCTCTGACACGGCCACTATGAACCCCCTGATAGAGAGAGACACCCAGACCCAGGGCTCGAACCCAGGCTCTCAGTGTCTCTCCGACACGGCCACTATAAACCCCCTGATAGAGAGAGACACCCAGACCCAGGGCTCGAACCCAGCCTCTCAGTGTCTCCGACACGGCCACTATGAACCCCCTGACAGAGAGAGAGAGACACCCAGACCCAGGGCTCGAACCCAGCCTCTCAGTGTCTCCGACACGGCCACTATGAACCCCCTGATAGAGAGAGAGACACCCAGACCCAGGGCTCGAACCCAGGCTCTCAGTGTCTCCGACACGGCCACTATGAACCCCCTGATAGAGACACCCAGACCCAGGGCTCGAACCCAGGCTCTCAGTGTCTCCGACACGGCCACTATAAACCCCCTGATAGAGACACCCAGACCCAGGGCTCGAACCCAGGCTCTGGGGTTTGTGTCGTGGCGCCCCCCACCCTCCCACCACCACCCCCTCCTGCCCCCCCCCACGCTGTCCCCACCTTCTCCGACTCGCGCCAGCACTTGAGGATGAAGATGTTGGCATAGATGTCCTCCACGCACATCCAGTTGGAGAGGCTGAGCGTAGTGTCGGTCCACACCCAGTCCATGACAGCGCGCAGCTCAATGAGGAACGGCACCAGGCGGAATCTGGGGGGCGGGCGGAGGGGGGGGTTTGAGGGGTGCGGTCTTTTAGCGCTGGTTGTTTGAGTCTGCACTCACTCACCCACTCAATCACTCACACACTCACTCAACCACACACTCACTCAACCACTCACCCACCCATCCACCCACTCACCCACTCAATCACTCACACACCCACTCAATCACTCACACACCCACTCACTCACTCACCCACCCACTCACCCACCCACCCACCCACTCACCCACTCAATCACTCATACACTCACTCAACCACTCACCCACCCATCCACCCACTCACCCACTCAATCACTCACACACCCACTCACTCACTCACCCACCCACTCACTCACTCACCCACCGACCCACTCACTCACTCACCTACCCACCCACTCACTCACCCACCCACCCACCCACTCACCCACCCACCCACTCACTCACTCACCCACACACCCACCCGACCTAGCGACCCACCGACACATCCGCAGACCCACCCACCGACCAACCCACCTATCCATTCACTCACTCACTCATCCATTCACTCACCCACCCACCCACCTATCCATTCACTCACTCATTCACCCACCCATCCATTCACTCACCCACCCATCCATTCACTCACTCACCCACCCACCCATCCATTCCCTCACTCACCCATCCATTCCCTCACTCACCCATCCATTCACTCACTCACCCACCCACCCACCCGACCTACGGACCCACCCACACATCCGCAGACCCAACCACCCACCTACCAACCAACCCACCCATACATTCGCTCAATCACTTACCCACCCACCAATCCATTCACTCACTCACTCACCCATCCATCCATGCACTCACTCACTCACCCACCCATTCACTCACTCACCCACTCACTCACTCACTCACCCACCCACTCACCCACCCACCCACCCACTCACCCACTCAATCACTCATACACTCACTCAACCACTCACCCACCCATCCACCCACTCACCCACTCACCCACTCAATCACTCATACACTCACTCAACCACTCACCCACCCATCCACCCACTCACCCACTCAATCACTCACACACCCACTCACTCACTCACTCACCCACCCACTCACTCACTCACTCACCCACCGACCCACTCACTCACTCACCTACCCACCCACTCACTCACCCACCCACCCACCCACTCACCCACCCACTCACTCACTCACCCACACACCCACCCGACCTAGCGACCCACCCACACATCCGCAGACCCACCCACCGACCAACCCACCTATCCATTCACTCACTCACTCATCCATTCACTCACCCACCCACCTATCCATTCACTCACTCATTCACCCACCCATCCATTCACTCACCCACCCATCCATTCACTCACTCACCCACCCACCCATCCATTCCCTCACTCACCCATCCATTCCCTCACTCACCCATCCATTCACTCACTCACCCACCCACCCACCCGACCTACGGACCCACCCACACATCCGCAGACCCAACCACCCACCTACCAACCCACCTATCCATTAACTCACTCACTCACTCACCCATCCATTCACTCACTCACTCACCCACTCACCAACCAACCCACCCACTCACCAACCAACCCACCCATACATTCGCTCAATCACTTACCCACCCACCAATCCATTCACTCACTCACTCACCCATCCATCCATGCACTCACTCACTCACCCACCCATTCACTCACTCACCCACTCACTCACTCACTCACCCACCCACTCACCCACCCACCCACCCACTCACCCACTCAATCACTCATACACTCACTCAACCACTCACCCACCCATCCACCCACTCACCCACTCACCCACTCAATCACTCATACACTCACTCAACCACTCACCCACCCATCCACCCACTCACCCACTCAATCACTCACACACCCACTCACTCACTCACTCACCCACCCACTCACTCACTCACTCACCCACCGACCCACTCACTCACTCACCTACCCACCCACTCACTCACCCACCCACCCACCCACTCACCCACCCACTCACTCACTCACCCACACACCCACCCGACCTAGCGACCCACCCACACATCCGCAGACCCACCCACCGACCAACCCACCTATCCATTCACTCACTCACTCATCCATTCACTCACCCACCCACCTATCCATTCACTCACTCATTCACCCATCCATTCACTCACCCACCCATCCATTCACTCACTCACCCACCCACCCATCCATTCCCTCACTCACCCATCCATTCCCTCACTCACCCATCCATTCACTCACTCACCCACCCACCCACCCGACCTACGGACCCACCCACACATCCGCAGACCCAACCACCCACCTACCAACCCACCTATCCATTAACTCACTCACTCACCCATCCATTCACTCACTCACTCACTCACCCACTCACCAACCAACCCACCCACTCACCAACCAACCCACCCATACATTCGCTCAATCACTTACCCACCCACCAATCCATTCACTCACTCACTCACCCATCCATCCATGCACTCACTCACTCACCCACCCATTCACTCACTCACCCACCCATCCACTCACTCACTCACCCACCCATTCACTCACTTACCCACCCACCAATCCATTCACTCACTCACCCACCCACCCACCAATCCATTCACTGACTCACTCACTCACCCACCCACCTATCCATCCATCCATTCACTCACTCACTTACCCACTCACCAATCCATTCACTCACTCACCCACCTATCCATCCATTCACTCACTCACCCATCCATCCACTCACTCACTCACTCACCCACCCATCCATCCATTCAATCACTCACCCACCCACTCACCCACCCACCCACAGCCACCCCACAGCACCCACCCCTGGAAGAGAAAGAGGTTCAGGTAATTGTAGCTCTTGGTGAGGAAGTTGCCCAGGATGCGCGTGGGGTAGCCGCAGCGGATCTGGTAGGCCGAGAGGCCGAAGTAGACGCACTTCACAAAGTTCACTCACTCACTCACTCACCCACCTATCCATCCATCCATCCACTCACTCACCCACCCACCCACCCATTCACTCATTCACTCACTCACCCATCCATCCACCCATCCATCCATTCACTCACTCACCCATTCACTCACTGACCCACCCACCCATTCACTGACTCGCTCACTCACTTACCCACCCACCAATCCATTCACTCACTCACCCATCCATCCATCCATTCACTCACCTCACCCACCCATCCATCCATCCATTTACTCACTCACTCACCCACCCACCCACCCATTCACTCACTCACCCACCCAACCATCCACTCACTCACTCACCCACCCATTCACTCACTCAACCACCCATCCACTCACTCACTCAACCACCCATCCACTCACTCAACCACCCATCCACTCACTCACTCAACCACCCATCCACTCACTCAACCACCCACCCATTCACTCACTCACCCATCCATCCATCCATTCACTCACCCACTCACCCACCCAGCCAACCCACGGCACCCACCCCTGGAAGAGAAAGAGGTTCAGGTAATTGTAGCTCTTGGTGAGGAAGTTGCCCAGGATGCGCGTGGGGTAGCCACAGCGGATCTGGTAGGCCGAGAGGCCGAAGTAGACGCACTTCACAAAGTTCACTCACTCACCCACCCATCCATCCACTCACTCACTCACTGACCCATCCATCCATTCACTCACTCACTCACTCACCCATCCATCCATTCATTCACTCACTCACTCACCCACCCATTCACTCACCCATCCATCCATCCATTCACTCACTCAATCACTCACCCATTCACTCACTGACCCACCCACCAATCCATTCACTCACTCACTCACCCACCCATCCATCCATCCATTCACTCACTCACTCACTTACCCACCCACCAATCCATTCACTCACTCACTCACCCACCCATCCATCCATTCATTCAATCACCCACCCACTCACCCACCCACAGCCACCCCACAGCACCCACCCCTGGAAGAGAAAGAGGTTCAGGTAATTGTAGCTCTTGGTGAGGAAGTTGCCCAGGATGCGCGTGGGGTAGCCGCAGCGGATCTGGTAGGCCGAGAGGCCGAAGTAGACGCACTTCACAAAGTTCACTCACTCACTCACCCACCTATCCATCCATCCATCCATTCACTCACTCACCCACCCACCCACCCATTCACTCATTCACTCACTCACCCATCCATCCACCCATCCATCCATTCACTCACTCACCCATTCACTCACTGACCCACCCACCCATTCACTGACTCGCTCACTCACTTACCCACCCACCAATCCATTCACTCACTCACCCATCCACCCATCCATTCACTCACCTCACCCATCCATCCATCCATTTACTCACTCACTCACCCACCCACCCACCCATTCACTCACTCACCCACCCAACCATCCACTCACTCACTCACCCACCCATTCACTCACTCAACCACCCATCCACTCACTCACTCAACCACCCATCCACTCACTCAACCACCCATCCACTCACTCACTCAACCACCCATCCACTCACTCAACCACCCACCCATTCACTCACTCACCCATCCATCCATCCATTCACTCACCCACTCACCCACCCAGCCACCCCACAGCACCCACCCCTGGAAGAGAAAGAGGTTCAGGTAATTGTAGCTCTTGGTGAGGAAGTTGCCCAGGATGCGCGTGGGGTAGCCGCAGCGGATCTGGTAGGCCGAGAGGCCGAAGTAGACGCACTTCACAAAGTTCACTCACTCACTCACCCACCTATCCATCCATCCATCCACTCACTCACCCACCCACCCACCCATTCACTCATTCACTCACTCACCCATCCATCCACCCATCCATTCACTCACCCATTCACTCACTGACCCACCCACCCATTCACTGACTCACTCACTCACTTACCCACCCACCAATCCATTCACTCACTCACCCATCCATCCATCCATTCACTCACTCACCCATCCATCCATCCATTCACTCACTCACTCACCCATCCATCCATCCATCCATTTACTCACTCACTCACCCACCCACCCACCCATTCACTCACTCACTCACCCACCCACCCATCCACTCACTCACTCACCCACCCATTCACTCACTCACTCAACCACCCATCCACTCACTCACTAAACCACCCATCCACTCACTCAACCACCCATCCACTCACTCACTCAACCACCCATCCACTCACTCAACCACCCATTCACTCACTCACCCATCCATCCATCCATTCACTCACCCACCCACCCATCCACTCACTCACTCACTCACCCACCCACCCACCCAGCCACCCCACGGTACCCACCCCTGGAAGAGAAAGAGGTTCAGGTAATTGTAGCTCTTGGTGAGGAAGTTGCCCAGGATGCGCGTGGGGTAGCCACAGCGGATCTGGTAGGCCGAGAGGCCGAAGTAGACGCACTTCACAAAGTTCACTCACTCACCCATCCATCCATCCATTCACTCACTCACTCACTGACCCATCCATCCATTCACTCACTCACTCACCCATCCATCCATTCATTCACTCACTCACTCACCCACCCATTCACTCACCCATCCATCCATCCATTCACTCACTCAATCACTCACTCACCCATTCACTCACTCACCCACCCACCAATCCATTCACTCACTCACTCACTCACCCACCCATCCATCCATCCATTCACTCACTCACTCACTCACTTACCCACCCACCAATCCATTCACTCACTCACTCACTCACCCATCCATCCATCCACTCACCCACCCACCCACTCACCCACCCACAGCCACCCCACAGCACCCACCCCTGGAAGAGAAAGAGGTTCAGGTAATTGTAGCTCTTGGTGAGGAAGTTGCCCAGGATGCGCGTGGGGTAGCCACAGCGGATCTGGTAGGCCGAGAGGCCGAAGTAGACGCACTTCACAAAGTTCACTCACTCACTCACCCACCTATCCATCCATCCATCCACTCACTCACCCACCCACCCACCCATTCACTCACTCACTCACCCATCCATCTACCCATCCATTCACTCACTCACCCATTCACTCACTGACCCACCCACCCATTCACTGACTCACTCACTCACCCACCCACCAATCCATTCACTCACTCACCCATCCATCCATCCATTCACTCACTCACCCATCCATCCATTCACTCACTCACTCACTCACCCACCCACCCATCCATCCATCCATTTACTCACTCACTCACCCACCCACCCACCCATTCACTCACTCACTCACCCACCCAACCATCCACTCACTCACTCACCCACCCATTCACTCACTCACTCAACCACCCATCCACTCACTCACTAAACCACCCATCCACTCACTCAACCACCCATCCACTCACTCACCCACCCATCCATCCACTCACTCACTCACCCACCCATTCACTCACTCACTCACTCACCCATCCATCCATCCATTCACTCACCCACTCACCCACCCAGCCACCCCACGGCACCCACCCCTGGAAGAGAAAGAGGTTCAGGTAATTGTAGCTCTTGGTGAGGAAGTTGCCCAGCATGCGCGTGGGGTAGCCACAGCGGATCTGGTAGGCCGAGAGGCCGAAGTAGACGCACTTCACAAAGTTCACTCACTCACTCACCCACCTATCCATCCATCCATTCACTCACTCACCCACCCACCCACCCATTCACTCATTCACTCACTCACCCATCCATCCACCCATCCATCCATTCACTCACTCACCCATTCACTCACTGACCCACCCACCCATTCACTGACTCGCTCACTCACTTACCCACCCACCAATCCATTCACTCACTCACCCATCCATCCATCCACTCACTCACCCATCCATCCATTCACTCACTCACTCACCCATCCATCCATCCATCCATTTACTCACTCACTCACCCACCCACCCACCCATTCACTCACTCACTCACCCACCCATTCACTCACTCACTCAACCACCCATCCACTCACTCACTAAACCACCCATCCACTCACTAAACCACCCATCCACTCACTCAACCACCCATCCACTCACTCACTCAACCACCCATCCACTCACTCACTCACTCACCCATTCACTCACTCACTCAACCACCCATCCACTCACTCACTCAACCACCCATCCACTCACTCACTCAACCACCCATCCACTCACTCAACCACCCACCCATTCACTCACTCACCCATCCATCCATCCATTCACTCACCCACTCACCCACCCAGCCAACCCACGGCACCCACCCCTGGAAGAGAAAGAGGTTCAGGTAATTGTAGCTCTTGGTGAGGAAGTTGCCCAGGATGCGCGTGGGGTAGCCGCAGCGGATCTGGTAGGCCGAGAGGCCGAAGTAGACGCACTTCACAAAGTTCACTCACTCACCCATCCATCCATCCATTCACTCACTCACTCACTGACCCATCCATCCATTCACTCACTCACTCACCCATCCATCCATTCATTCACTCACTCACTCACCCACCCATTCACTCACCCATCCATCCATCCATTCACTCACTCAATCACTCACTCACCCATTCACTCACTCACCCACCCACCAATCCATTCACTCACTCACTCACTCACCCACCCATCCATCCATCCATTCACTAACTCACTCACTCACTTACCCACCCACCAATCCATTCACTCACTCACTCACTCACCCATCCATCCATTCACTCACCCACTCACCCACCCACAGCCACCCCACAGCACCCACCCCTGGAAGAGAAAGAGGTTCAGGTAATTGTAGCTCTTGGTGAGGAAGTTGCCCAGGATGCGCGTGGGGTAGCCACAGCGGATCTGGTAGGCCGAGAGGCCGAAGTAGACGCACTTCACAAAGTTCACTCACTCACTCACCCACCTATCCATCCATCCATTCACTCACTCACCCACCCATTCACTCACTCACTCACTCACCCATCCATCCACCCATCCATCCATTCACTCACTCACCCATTCACTCACTGACCCACCCACCCATTCACTGACTCACTCACTCACTTACCCACCCACCAATCCATTCACTCACTCACCCATCCATCCATCCATTCACTCACCCATCCATCCATCCATTCACTCACTCACTCACTCACCCACCCATCCATCCATCCATTTACTCACTCACTCACCCACCCATTCACTCACTCACCCACCCAACCATCCACTCACTCACTCACCCACCCATTCACTCACTCACTCAACCACCCATCCACTCACTCACTAAACCACCCATCCACTCACTCAACCACCCATCCACTCACTCACTCAACCACCCATCCACTCACTCAACCACCCACCCATTCACTCACTCACCCATCCATCCATCCATTCACTCACCCACCCACCCATCCACTCACTCACTCACTCACCCACCCACCCACCCAGCCACCCCACGGCACCCACCCCTGGAAGAGAAAGAGGTTCAGGTAATTGTAGCTCTTGGTGAGGAAGTTTCCCAGGATGCGCGTGGGGTAGCCACAGCGGATCTGGTAGGCCGAGAGGCCGAAGTAGACGCACTTCACAAAGTACCACAGCTGGGCCACGATGTTGTCACTGAACTTCCTGCACAACAACACAACAACAAACAATACACAACAACAACACGCAACAACAATGTACAACAACAAATACACAGCAACAACACACAACAAGCAACACACAACACAATACACAACAAGCAATAAACACAATACACAACAATACACAACAACAATGTACAACAACAACAAACAATACACAACAACACACAACAATAATGTACAACAACAATACACAACAACAACACACAACAACAACAAACAACAGACAACATCAATACACAACACACAAGCATTAAACACAATACACAACAACAACAATGTACAACAATACACAACAATAATACACAACAATAATACACAATAACACACTACAACAACACACAACAATACACAACAAGCAAATGCATTACCACACTAACAAATAACAACACTCCACCTCCTCCACCCATCCCCCTCCCCCCCATCCCACCTCACATCCCCCTCCCTCCTCCCTCCTCCCCCTCCCTCCCCCACCCACCCCACCCACCCACCCACCCCACCCACCTCTCGGTGACCTCCGGCAGGATGAAGAACATCCCGACGTGGATGCCGAAGACGAGCACCACCTGGAACACCACCTTGCCCAGCCCCTCCCCCTAACCCCTCCCCACCCACCACTCCACCCACCCACCCCACCCACCCCACCCACCCCCACTCACCCCACCCACCCCCACCCACCCCACCCACCTCTCGGTGCCCTGATCACCAAACTAACTCACCCACTCAACAACTTACCCAACAACCAACCACCCAGACACCCACCCATCCATCCACCCCACCACACTCACCCACCCCACCCACCACCCCACCCACCCCACCCACCACCCACCCCACCCACCCCACCCACCTCTCGGTGACCTCCGGCAGGATGAAGAACATCCAGACGTGGATGCCGAAGACGGGCACCACCTGGAACACCACCTTGCCCAGCACCTCCCCCTAACCCCCCACCCACCCACCACTCCACCCACCCACCCCACCCACCCTACCCACCCCACCCACCCCACCCACCCCCACCCACCCCACCCACCTCTCGGTGCCCTGATCACCAAACTAACTCACCCACTCAACAACTTACCCAACAACCAACCACCCAGACACCCACCCATCCATCCACCCCACCACACTCACCCACCCCACCCACCCCACCCACCACCCACCCACCCACCCCACCCACCTCTCGGTGACCTCCGGCAGGATGAAGAACATCCAGACGTGGATGCCGAAGATGAGCACCACCTGGAACACCACCTTGCCCAGCACCTCCTCCTAACCCCACCCACCCACCCACCACTCCCACCCACCCCACCCACCACCCACCCACCCTACCCACCCCACCCACCCCACCCACCCCACCCACCCCACCCACCTCTCGGTGCCCTGATCACCAAACTAACTCACCCACTCAACAACTTACCCAACAACCAACCACCCAGACACCCACCTATCCATCCACCCCACCACACTCACCCACCCCACCCACCACCCCACCCACCCCACCCACCACCCACCCACCCACCCCACCCACCTCTCGGTGACCTCCGGCAGGATGAAGAACATCCAGACGTGGATGCCGAAGATGAGCACCACCTGGAACACCACCTTGCCCAGCACCTCCCCCTAACCCCACCCACCCACCACTCCACCCACCCCACCCACCCCACCCACCCCACCCACCCCACCCACCCCACCCACCTCTCGGTGCCCTGATCACCAAACTAACTCACCCACTCAACAACTTACCCAACAACCAACCACCCAGACACCCACCCATCCATCCACCCCACCACACTCACCCACCCCACCCACCACCCCACCCACCCCACCCACCACCCACCCCACCCACCCCACCCACCTCTCGGTGACCTCCGGCAGGATGAAGAACATCCAGACGTGGATGCCGAAGACGGGCACCACCTGGAACACCACCTTGCCCAGCACCTCCCCCTAACCCCCCACCCACCCACCACTCCACCCACCCACCCCACCCACCCTACCCACCCCACCCACCCCACCCACCCCCACCCACCCCACCCACCTCTCGGTGCCCTGATCACCAAACTAACTCACCCACTCAACAACTTACCCAACAACCAACCACCCAGACACCCACCCATCCATCCACCCCACCACACTCACCCACCCCACCCACCCCACCCACCACCCACCCACCCACCCCACCCACCTCTCGGTGACCTCCGGCAGGATGAAGAACATCCAGACGTGGATGCCGAAGATGAGCACCACCTGGAACACCACCTTGCCCAGCACCTCCTCCTAACCCCACCCACCCACCCACCACTCCCACCCACCCCACCCACCACCCACCCACCCTACCCACCCCACCCACCCCACCCACCCCACCCACCCCACCCACCTCTCGGTGCCCTGATCACCAAACTAACTCACCCACTCAACAACTTACCCAACAACCAACCACCCAGACACCCACCTATCCATCCACCCCACCACACTCACCCACCCCACCCACCCCCCCCCCCACCCCACCCACCACCCACCCACCCACCCCACCCACCTCTCGGTGACCTCCGGCAGGATGAAGAACATCCAGACGTGGATGCCGAAGATGAGCACCACCTGGAACACCACCTTGCCCAGCACCTCCCCCTAACCCCACCCACCCACCACTCCACCCACCCCACCCACCCCACCCACCCCACCCACCCCACCCACCCCACCCACCTCTCGGTGCCCTGATCACCAAACTAACTCACCCACTCAACAACTTACCCAACAACCAACCACCCAGACACCCACCCATCCATCCACCCCACCACACTCACCCACCCCACCCACCCACCCACCCCACCCACCACCCACCCACCCACCCCACCCACCTCTCGGTGACCTCCGGCAGGATGAAGAACATCCAGACGTGGATGCCGAAGACAAGCACCACCTGGAACACCACCTTGCCCAGCACCTCCCCCTAACCCCACCCACCCACCCACCACTCCACCCACCCACCCCACCCACCACCCACCCACCCACCCCACCCACCTCTCGGTGACCTCCGGCAGGATGAAGAACATCCAGACGTGGATGCCGAAGACGGGCACCACCTGGAACACCACCTTGCCCAGCACCTCCCCCTAACCCCACCCACCCACCCACCACTCCACCCACCCCACCCACCACCCACCCCACCCACCCCACCCACCTCTCGGTGACCTCCGGCAGGATGAAGAACATCCAGACGTGGATGCCGAAGACGGGCACCACCTGGAACACCACCTTGCCCAGCACCTCCTCCTAACCCCACCCACCCACCCACCACTCCACCCACCCACCCCACCCACCACCCACCCACCCACCCCACCCACCTCTCGGTGACCTCCGGCAGGATGAAGAACATCCAGACGTGGATGCCGAAGACGAGCACCACCTGGAACACCACCTTGCCCAGCACAGACTTGCGCAGGTACAGGGCCCGGTCCACCACCATGGTGCCGAACTGGATGAGGAGCATGACGAGGAAGGCCTGGGGCACCTGGTCCTCGGACAGCGTCGACGCAATGTCCGCCGCTGCCGAGTGTTTCTTCACGTGGGTGGGAGGGGGGGGGGGAGGTGGGGAGGGAGGGA